TTACCATGATATATATATATAATATAATATAATGTAAAAATACGTTATACATATGAGAAGCGATTGTATATTGTATATACAACACATAATAACTTCTGTTAATAGAAAATTATGAATTTCTATGGGACACGCTCTCCAAAAATTTTTTCGAAAATACGAAAAAATATTATCCCATCATTCATTGAAAAACACGATTCAAGATACGAATCAAATTTAATCATACTGTAACGGCACTTTACAATCAATGGAGTCAACTCTTCGAACGAAACTGATTGTTATCATCTCGCATTGTTCGACCTCCTCGATCAAAATTCCCCGCAAACAATAAACACATGTTATTGAAAACGAAAATTGAACGTTCGATTCCGCTACTCTTTAAAAAGAACTCACGTTGTTGGCACGATGAAGCCATTCTTCCAGCCACCAATTATCTCCGGTAGCAAATTTACCAAGGGTCTCCCCCCCCCCCCTCTTTCGCGAGGTACTTCTCTTCTTGACGATACACGCCATAAGGAAAGCAACGGTGACGTTGATCGCCAACCTTGGCAGGCTCCGGGCATTTTACCCAGCCCATAAACCTTTAAAAATACTAAAAAAAAAAAAAAAAAAAAAAAAAATTGCACATTGGGATTAGCGGCGTGGCAAAGGTAATCTCTCGAATGGGGAATTGAACACACGGAAACGGAAATTGTCCTTACTCCGGAAATCGAGCATCTCGAGCGTATATTATTCCCCGCGCGTGACAAGATTACTCTTGTCGCTCGGAACGGCGTCGATGCGTATCTCTGGAAGGCGGCTGGGATGAAAGGGTTAAGAGGCCATTCTTTTCGAGAGCCGGCAAGGCCGTGGATTTCGCGGTTTCCGCCGGGGCCACGAAGGTCGCCGCCGCGGGATCGTTCGAGATCTGCCTCTCGGTTGGAACGCGGAGAGGAGAAGAAATCTCCCCTCGCGGATTTTCTCACACGATTTTGCCGGAACTGACCGCGCCTTCGGTGTGGAAAGGAATTATTTACGTGGAAAGGTGTGAAGCGAGTTGATAGAGTGAATAAAACGCGTAGAATTAGTATTCTAAAGCTATTTTAAACTTCAGATACGATTAATAGGTATTACTTTTGAGATTTTATATCGATGACATAATTCTATAAAATTTGATATTCTAATAAAATCCAGTGGTGAAAATCGATGAGAGTTAATAAAATTATTTAGGAATTTTAGCATATAGTGAGATATTTTTGGGATGACTCTAAAAATTATAAAAAAAAATACAAAAGTTAAATGTAAATTATAATATAAATTCGTTGATTATAATATATTACATTTATAATATAAAAAATATTATAACACTTTGGCTATTACTATGATCCACAATTGTAATCTATTATCTAATTAAACAATTGACAAAGTTTCATATTACGTAATCGAATCCAAAGTCAAAGAATACTGTTCATGCTACATACAAATAATTCAAAAAATACTTATTCAAATCATGCATCATTATTCTACATTCAATGAGGCAAAATAATCAAATAAGATAACTCATGTTTAATCGAATTCAGAGAGATAACATCCATTTGTCGCAAGCAAAAACCAACTCAACAACGCGTCGCGAAACCAACCACACGCTTAACAGAGCATAAAAACGGTTTTACCGGAATAAGAAGAGGCGAGACACTTCTATGAGCGACTACGCGCCGTTTCACGCGTCTCGCATAAAATCCTCTTTCACCTTTCTGTGTTGAATAACATGCTCTCGTACACATTTTCGGCGAATTATGCGGCAGGAGAACGAGAAATAAGGAATTCGCGAGCGACGACACGGGTCAAAGAACCCGAAGAGCGAATTTTGAAGCGACTTTTTCAAGGGTTATCCGTTTAATGTTCCAGACAACGCACTGATAATGGTTTGGTGCTCCGTTACTTGTGAGTTTTTTTTTTTTTTTTGAGCAAGGAATTTTTTTTACATCGAACTGTGTTTTGTCGACAAGATGGGTTCGTTGATCCGCGTGATGCTCTGAATAATGCAAGCGTTTGAATAAAATCAAGATATTTAGGGTCCCGTTCTTTAACCTTTTTCGACCTTTTTTTTGATATTTTTTGATATACATTTAGATGCATGTTATAGATGTTGATTGGTTACTGAGGAAAAATCAAATCGGTCTCTAAAAATCTATAAATCTAACATTGGAAAGTTTTTTAAAATTAATTGTATTTTTTAAAATAAAATATGTCTTGATATTTGCATCATTCGTTCAATTTCTTAATTCCTTCTTGTGTCTATAATTCTATAATTAGATGTAATAATAAAATTTTAGACATTCGTCCTTAAAAATCGGTTACAACGCGTATAAAGTAAAAATAAAGATATTCGAGTCATTAATTAAAAGCGCTCTCACGTTTCACCAATTGGAATTACATAAAAGATACCAACAATACCAAACTTCATTTCACACGACAGAGGAGAGAAAAAAAAAAAAAACATCGATATCAGAAATCAGAAGCGCAAGAAAGTACTTGTTTCTATTCAATTTCCTCGCACGGAACATAAAAGTATTTATAAAAAGTTTCAAAATCCTTTCGCGGGAAAGGATTGAATCGACAATTGAATCGAAATGAAGATATTCCAGCACGATCGCGCGTTTCTAAAAGTTCAAAGCACGCGTGTCACAGAAGAACAATAATCGCAGAAGCGATTTGATGTCGCGAGCTACGCCTTGTTACGCTGCCAGTGCGACGTGTGTGGAATTCGCAGAGCACCGGTTCCATTACAGTACGTCTTCCTTTCTCTCTGAATGTTTGGCAAACGATAAAAAGGATGGAATCAGGATCAGCACGATTCTCCTCTCACGAGGCTTGCTTCATTTTAACGAACGATTCGATTACGTTTCCAAAGGAAGATGGATTTTCTTTATTGTGTCAGTGATGGGTCGATATTATGCGCATTTATTGTGAAACATTTACACGTAACTCGTTAATTTCGATCCAACGAAAGTCACGTTCTCTCATCCTTGAAAATCATCCTTGCTTGTAAAAATTGTTACCGATATAATTGTTTATTCTAATTAAAATCAGCTTTATACGTGTTTTCTTTTGTATTATTTTCTTGGTTATGTAATTTTACGATACAGTTTTTTTTATAAAACACGAAAAAAGAAATTACTTTATTCGAAATATTACGAGAATAGGAATCCTAAAAACACTTTATACGATTCAACTCAACATCCACATCTGATTAAAATTCCATTCTCAAATAAAAAAAAAAGGCACAATATTTTGCAATCAATATTCTGCTAACTAAATTATAATTTCAACGCCAAAAATATATCGAAATCAATCTTATACAATTAATCCATTACTATTTCTCGTGCAAAATTCATCTAACGAACACAATTGCGTACAAATATCCATCAAAATAATCTTGCAAAATCTTTCCTCGAATGATCCCCTCCAATAAGAGATTCGTTGCGATCGATCGGCAGATCGGTGACCGCGTTGTGCCACGTTGGCTAGCGATTTATTTTCATCGTTTCACCTTTTTTATTTTCTCGGTTCGTTAATAATAGCAGAGGAGGGGGGGAAATAAAAGGGGGCCGCGTAGCATCGCCGCAAAGGGAAGAGCGATACGTACATGGCGGATCGGCATTTCATCCCACGTACGTGCAGCCACGCACTATGAAGCGTCGATGTCGGCGTATGACTCACGTGAGAAGGCGCGTTTTTATCGCGCGACACGCGCTCTGATGAAGCGTCGCTGTGATCGATGCCTCGAGGTCGATCGATTTTCGCGCTCGATTATTCAACGAATGAGATGAATTTTATATATATATGTATGTATGTGTGTGTATATATGTGACGGTTTATTAATATCGATGAAGATCTCACATGAAATGAAATTCTGACTATTTAAATACTTTCTTTTTGTTTTTTTTCGTTGTTCGTGGGATAAGAATGTTCGTTATCGAATTAGTTTCGATTTGTTGTTGGATGCAGTTCGTTGAATGCAAGGTTGTCGTGATAGTAAAGCTGTTGTTCGGTTTGTTGAGTTTCGAAAGATATAGGAACGTAGAAAGAAGTTTGAGATAGTTTTCTTTCATTCTTATTACATGATTTCATTCGTAATAATATCATTCACAATTTAGTCGATTCTTTATTTTTCTTTATAGTCCTTTGAAGAATAATTCTTATTTCTTAAATATATTTTAAATATAATAATAAAAAAATGATTTATTAATAATAATTATATTTCTAAAGTACCATTTAATCAAAGAACTTACCGAATTTTTATTATTTTAATTAGATATAATTATATTAGATACACTGCTAATATATTAAATAATTATTGTATTTGTTATGTGCAAAAATATGTTTCAAACAAAAGTTTTTTTAGTATTAATTGTAATGGTATAATGTAATTAATATTTTTTTTATAATTCTTATATTTCGCTTTTTTTATCGAGGTACGAAGATCATTTTATTCTTTGAAATATGTAATATTTCACTGTACGATTTAAAAGAGTATTAAATGGAGTAAAATATGTGAAAAATACATAGAATTAAAATCTAATAATTATCAAAATTTTATATCTAAAGATACGTAAGATTGCATGATAAGAAGTATGTTATAACTATAATTCCGAAAACATGTATCAATTGCATTGGATAATCGCTTGATCGTATTGATCGTAATGGATTTCGAGTTGACCATTAATGTTCCTGCATTATCATAAGAAGATGCTAATTACTATTCTTTTAACCCTATATATCTTAATAATATTTTATCGAGCATTTAATACAGCATTTTTCGAACATATAGTTTCGAGTATTAAACGTTAAAATATCCTCAAAAAATTTAAAATAACATTCATACTTCGATAAAAATGATACGATAAAAAATAACCGTATGATTATTACATATCCTTTAATATCAAAAGTATCTTGCTTAAAACATTTTCTTGCGTAAAAATTTACAAATAAATTCAGTTAAATCACGTATATTAATATACTGCGCGAAACTCTCACGCGAACCATCTCCATTTCCCGCGATTCCTGAACACGGAAGAAAAACGATACCATACCACACGAAGCGATTTCATGCTGAAACACCGTATAATAACACAGTGCAACGACACAGGAAGAAATAATACAATAAGCTTCCGTCAGGATCAACGAGAGAGACATGAGAGACGAAGAGTGTTTCGATAACCTACATACTTAGTCACGCTTAAAAAACGATACCATAGAAGAGACGATTTCATCGACAGCTCGAGATTATTAAAAAAATAAAAAAAGAAAAAAAATACTTCTTTAGAAGAGGAAAAGCTCATAAAAGCTCACGATCTTCCTTTTTTTTTTTTTTTTTTTTTTTTTTTTT